GATACACAGTTGTTTTTTATTGAGTTGATCGATGCACTATTTTTGAGTTAGCTCTCGCCGAAAATCGTAATAAATCATAGCACGAAAATTTTCACGAGTTAAACCCATAGTGATAAAGGCACGCAACTTTCAAAATGACGCCACAAAGGATAAACAAATGACAGCTTCATGAAACAAATTGTATTCCTCAGCCAAAGAGTTCCATTTTTAAATGTTATAATTACTTCTTTAATATTGTTCTATAACTGGCCAGTGCCGGATACATAAATGGCAGCCATCGTATTATTTATGCAATCACACATACAGGCGTGTAAAATTTTAAATATTTGAAGTGTACATAGAAAAAGTGCGAAAAGATAAAAGTTTTATAACAATATGAGTTATCAAATCACACATCAACAGCATTTATATAATAGTCCTCTGCTGGACATAGAACTCGTCTTAGAAAGGAGGTTTTGACCTACTTTGCCACGCTGCCCAGACGGGTTGGTATAGGGTTTATGTAAAGTTTTCCTTCTCTTTTGCAGTGCTGTTGTCCTGCGTAATTTGCTCCTTTATTCGGCACTTACGACACACAGGATGGTTGTGACACTCCGTGTTCTTAATCCGTCACTACACGGAGTCTATAGAGGTAAAAAATATATCAAAACCGCTACATAAACCTACATATTATTTTGACCATCAGTAACAAATTTCATCCACATTTATTTACCTATAATTAGACGAAGCGAGATGAAAAAGAGAGGTCATTAAATTTTTAATTGGCAAGCTTGAACTGTTTGCAGAGAGTGCTTCGGATACATTACCGAATACTGCACTCCTTTAATCCTCTTTACCTCTATTTATAAATGCTCTCTGGCAATAAACCAGTGAAACCGGGCTAATGAACCTTGAATACTTTACAATTAAAAAATGAATCCAAAATTTTTCATTGAATTATCTCTTTTATAGGGAATTTTCAAATGTTTTAATTGTTTTTTTTTTATGTTTAAGTACAGTTAAGTATAAATAACATAATTTATCTATTTTGTGTCTAACGTATTTTGATTTTTAAGTACTGACACTAGTTTAGTTTTAGCTAAAATTTTGTTATTTTAGTGTCATGAATAATAAGCAACTGCACCTTCTAAAAAACTAAAATGTGTATAGATGGGTTTTACTGAGGTTTTACTTGTTAAAGGGTTCTTTGTACAAATATTATATTTTTATATAAATAAATGCTTTTATAAAAAAAGTTACACTAAAGACCTAGCAGAAATCACGGTTCATTTGCTATCGTGTTTTTAAGAGTCCCGTTGTCTGTCTTCGAAACGTTCATTTTTAAAGGCAACTCAACTTACGAGTAAAGGCATTCGGAATATACCCTGTGTCGCGGGGGACTTTACAAACATACATGAAACGGACACAAAGAACACCCAGACTCAGAACAACAATTTGTGGAGCACACAACGTGTCGTCCCATGTGGGGATCGGAGCCACAACACTCAGCGTAGTATTGAGCGGCGTGGCGACCGCTTAAACCACTACGCCATCCCTGCAGTCGATATCCCTATATAAACGAGACATTATTATTACCCCAACTTAATGTTTACGGCGAAATCAAAAAAATAACGTTTTAGTAATTTAATATTTCATAAATAAACTAACACACTGACTTGATAAGACCACAAAACCCTAAAACAAGACTTGAAATGAAATTTTAACGTGAAAATTGTTCTGCAAATATGTTTCTACTTCATCTTCCCCCGTTTTAAAGGATTACTTGTTGTGGAAATGCCCAGGTGACAAGTTGACAGTTTAATACTGTCAGTTGTGCACCGCTGTCAACCTACCCGCTGCTAGCTAACAACTTACTTGATATTGTATTAGCTCTCGCCGCGAGCGGGTTAGACAATGTTATGTGGATTTTTTGTTTAGCTCCGTATAACGAGGGTTAATGTTCTAAATAATTATTGTGGAGTTAAATAATTTGTTTCAAAATGATGTACGAGTATTTTATGGGTAAAGAATAAGGTGAGGTGCTGTTTGTTTATAAAATTAGCGGCTGTTTCTTAAAGGAAGCTCCTCATTTTAAAACTTAAATTAAATACTTATGTTTAATAGTTTTTTTTATGGTATACACTACTAAAGCCGTCCACGAACACCTGCAACTCAAAAGTCACAAGTGCGTTGCCGCCCTTGGAGTCCCTCCCGCTCGAGTCAGCGGAAGGGGGTTCCGGTAACCTCACTCACTCAGTGAAAAGCAATGAAAGAATTGTTTGTTTAATATATAATATAATAATAATATTCTACCACATTCACACAACGCCATCCAGTCCCAAACTAAGCAGAGCTTGTACTATGGGTACTAGACAACTGATATAAATACATATATACTTTTTTTTTTTGTAAATACATACATATTATACATAGAAACACCCAGACCAAATCAAACATTAAATGTTCATACACACAAATGTTTGACTTGAGCGGGAATCGAACCCGCGACCTATGGAATAGCAGTCCGTTACACAAACCACTACGCCATCCGGTCGTCAAATTGCTTAACACCGGTTTATTTAATAGTTAAATATGAATCTACAAAGAAGCTTATGTACCATATTAAAAGAGATTAAAATGAATGATTCTATATCTTGCAAATACTGATGTTGTTACAATACCTCGATTTGTACAAACGGAAAATATTTTCTGACGAAAAACTTAAGATAAATTAGAGCCTTGTATTTATAGTATCGAAACCTGTTAAAATCGACACATCGACACACGTAAACGAAAAGAATACTACCTTCAATATAACTTTATTCAATCGACGCCCTTAAATCAAGTTGACAATTGTCAAGGTATGTAGAGTTAAGGGTAGCAATAAATAGGGGTAGCTTGGTGGATATAGTACGCTCGGCCGTACAGTACTGTATGTATAGGGACATCCAATGGTTTGTATTCATTAGCTCGCGGTCGCCAGCCGATACTCGGTATAGCTAACGGCGAGGAATACACACGGCTTGTAAGGTTAGCACTCACAGCACAGTTTACAGTAAATAGATAATAGATTTTATACTCAATATGTTTATTGCATTCCACAAAGTTTGCTTAGATGGTAACTTATAAATATGAGATCAGATCATCATGGATCCTGTCGGGCACAGCTGTAGATGGGAGAGGAAGAGATAATTCAAATTAATAATAATACTTTAGTTATATGTACTTAATTTATTGGTTGCGATTTTGTTCAAATACAGTCGTTTTTGTCATTAATTTATTCGCTGATGCTTTATAGAGTGACTGAGAGAGACTGCACGGATGGCGTAGAAGCGGTCACCTCGCCGCTTTCTATTGCGCTTTGTATTGTGGCTTCGATCTATAGGACAATATTTTCCGTGAAACACAAATGTTCGTTCTGAGTCTGGGTGTTCTTTGTGTCCTTTTCATGAATGTTTGTTAAGTTCCTCGCAACACAGGATATATTCCTAGGGTGGGAGTCTCTTAAAAAAGAAAGAAATAAAAGTCAATCGTACAACTGTGACAGAGTCATATTTGGACTGAACTGATACCAGGACCTCACAGAAAATCGATATTAAGTATTTTTTTCGATACTTTTGACTGAGTGAGTGAGGTGACTGGAGTCCAGACCGACCTCTCCTCCTAATTCTGAGGGGAAGTACTCAAAGGGCGGTGTACTCTCGAGTTGCAGGTGTTCACTTACCATCAGGTGATCCGTCTGCTCGTTTGCCAAATGAAATGAAACCTAAAAGTCTTAATTTTACGGGTAGAGTGTCTATGTCCAAGGTCATGACATCCCAATATTATTTATGCTTATTTTATAATATATCTTTCGCTTCTTTAAAGTATAGTTTATATTAACTTAATAAAATAAATAAAAAAGCTTTATATTTCTTGGAATTACAATGTTGAAATTATTATGGTTTAACCCTTTATTTGGCAAAAAAAAAAAAGCATTTTGAATTGAAACAAATACTGAAATAGGAATGTGTAGAGCCTAAATATGCCGAGAAAAATAGTAAAAAAAATCTAGGGTTTTCAGCTTTCCTGAAAAATCATGTATGCTACTACATACATTGCCAAGTGGGTAAAGAAATATGTATTCATTTGAATGTATGTTGGGACATACCTTACCAAAACCAGTAAGAATAATAATCATAAATATGTATTGTAACTTTAATTAAAAACAAACATAAATCAAACCTCTTTATAAAAATGAGTTGATAGACATACATTATGAAAGCAAAGTAGCGGGTATAATGGCTCTGCAACACTGTGATTGGCAGTAACTGCTGGAAGTAAACCCAGAAACTCTACTCATTTTTGAAAATGATAAATTAGTTGACAATTCCTGGGTTTACTTCCGGTAAAAATTGTCGCAGAATACAAAAGCTGGTATTTTTTTATACTTTTGCACAAAGCAATGACTATTTGAGCTCCAAAGCCTAGCTACAATTCTTCTTCTGTGAAATTATAGAACCTGAAAGTGTCCTCTCCTCCGTACAGGATAAAATCGTAAATCATACCTGATACTCCAGCTCTGACATAGTTTTTGAAACCCCATTTATTGGGTTTGTCTTTCATGTATTGGCGTCTCTTGCCGGCCTTAGTCCCTTTGTAAGGAATCATCATTTCGTCGATGCTGAACTTGGTCTCGACTTCTTGAGCTAAACAATTTGCTGTTATTTTTGGGCCTATGTTACTATGGGCCAAATCTTGTGATATCTGTCACTATTATCAGTGCTATTGTCGACGAAATGAAGGTATCTTCGAATTTTTTGGTACCTTTTTATGGGCATTAGATCTGCAACTAAACCGAATCTATATTGCAGACTCCAATAGTCTGTATATGAAGGCATAGACACGACCCCCATGATGATGTGAATTGCCAGAAAATCTCGAAGTTCGTCTTCAACTAATTCAATCGATCGTCCGGTTTTTTCCACTGAATACGCATTTGTTTGTTCTACAATGTCAGTTATAACGTATGGGGGAAAAAACTAGTAAAAATAGTCCAAGGGAATAGTAGGTGTCTGAGAATCGATTTCTGGTACATCTTCCACAGTTGCTTTGTGTCGAAAAACAGCAGCCCTTTTCCATTTATAGCACAGAACGAACTTTTTGATTCTGCGTGAGCGTTTAGCAACAGGAACCGTCGGTCTTTTCGATCGTGTTTTTCTAATTAGACGATTTGGCAATGTAGAGGATGTAGTGGGGGTGCTAGGTATGGACACTAAAGGTTGTGCAGGCGAAGCTTGTGATGCAGAAGCGACTTGAGATACAGGATTTAGAGTAGCAGGAGTGGCAGGAGTTGCAGGCGTGGCAGGGGTTGCAGGCAGTGTTGGAATGTCGCTTATTATCGGAATAGTACTGCAATCGGGCTCAAGCGATGGATTCGGGTATACTTCTTGGAATACAGGCGTAAGCCGAACATTCTCATCGGTTGAGGTTTCATCATCGGAATCGAATATATTCAGTCTTTCTAAGGAACTCGCAATAGATGAGGCTGGGGAAGATGAGTCTGAATGCGAAACTTGAGCGCCCAATAATTCATCATCACCAGAGAGTGCATTTTCAGTAGGGATCAAAGCTAAAATTTTACCACCACGTGTTAGTAGCGCGTGCTGTAAAGAAAAAAAAGATTGCATACAGCAAAACTCAAGCCCAAGCAAACAAAAACCCATAAATTATCAAAAAAAGAAATCAAATAAATTGGCAATGTATGCTGTGACATAAAGGTTCGTTATGCAGTAATTCATTACGAAGTTGGCAATGTATGTCACGGTATACAAAGTTTTTTATCAAATAAAACAACAAATATCAACAAATATTTCCAAAATTATAACAGTGAACACTTCACCATAATGTCACGATCGAATTATTAGTGTTTTATTAGAAATTTACGAGGAAAAAGTAATAAAAAAACATATAAATACCTTAGTGAGCACAGCTGGCTTCTTTCGGGCAGACATTTTGAAAAAAAGTGACAGCAATAGCGTTGCTAACACTCAAAAACTTTTTTTTTCATGAAGTGTGACTAGTTTATAAGAATAAATATTAATAATTATATTGAAATCATAACATTTCTTTAACACTTTTTTTTTTAAGTTTGTATGGCACAGCATACAATACCAAATTAAGGGTTAAACTTAAACTAATGCTTAACCTACTTACTACCTTATTTAAATTTCTAAATTGTTCGTTAAGCATTTTACTTTAGCTAATTTTGTATGAGCTTTTTACTACTTAAATTTTTGTTATTGCATAGGCCGATTTACTTCCATCACTCATTAAAAGGTGTGGTTCAAAACTAGTGCTTGACATCTGTCAGGCAGACGCTGAACCAGGTCCTATTCAACTGGCATCTACATGTAAAAATGTATTTTCGCTGAAGCCTAGTATTAAGTTTCCTTTATATTTTGAGTGTATATTCTTACACATCACACATCATCACATCAACAGCCTTTAACAGTCCACTGCTGGACATAAGCCTCTCCTTAGAAAGGAGGTTTTGGCCTACTACATCACGTTGGCCAGACGGGTTGGTATAGGGTTTGTGTCAAGTTTTCCTTCTCTCTGCAGTGCCGTTGTTCTGCGTAGTTTTTTCCCCTAGTCGGTTCTTACGACACCCACGGGATGAATGGGGGTGGTGACACTCTGTATTCTTAATCCGTCACCACGCGGATCTTACGTCCACGAATAAATTGTTTTTCTTTCTTTCTATAAACTAAAATCAAATAAAATTTGATCAAAGTTGGTAGACTTACTATCCCCTATGTCACCCACTCTGCCTACATCCCCCGTCACCCAACTCCCTCTCTTAAATTACCTGCTTCACGTTTGAAAAGGAGTTTTTCACAGTAAATTTAAATGATTTGATAAAGTTATGTCGTCGGCCCTTTCGCCTGAACCTTCCTTCTAGCTACGTTAAAGTGTGCTTGGGGGTTGGCTTTCGAGTGTTTAACTTTTTAATTGAAAAAAGGTGAATTTTATCTTGAACATATTTCCTAGAATGACGGCGTAATTATTATTTTTTCACACATCTCACTCATAATAGTCAGATCCCAAACTACCCAGACTGCTGATAAACATATTTATATATATCTAAATATATACGTATTATAGATAAATTACACTCAAACATAGAACAAATGACCGTGTTCATCATACGACTACTTGTCCTGGGTGGGAATCAAACCCACGACCTCTGTAACAGTCAGGGTCACTAACTACTATCCCAACAGGCCTATCAGGAACTTAGATTATCAAGTTATAATAAAATATTATTAACTTATTTTATTACTCATCTATCTAAAACTTAGATTCGTAATAATCCCAAAAGGGCACTTCTCGGAAATTAGGGAAGACAGCAACTAGTTCTGTTTTATGTAATATTGAAACTGAGAGATTTGAGTTTGGGAATTAAACTTTCAGGGAAATGGATAAATTGTATCAAAATATGCCTCGAGCCCTTTACTTTCAATTATCTCTCTGAATACGGCTGAAACTCTTTGATTGTTTTTTTTCTAAAATTGTTACTTTATTTGAACCAACTTTTTACAAAAAAAAACACATTTAGAAGAAAAATTGTAAATCGTAAAGAAAATCTAATAACCGATTTATTAAGTTTTCATGACTAACTAAAAGAAATTCGAATCGGTATAATACACCTAATATTGTATTTTTTTTGTTATTAGTTTTAATAATAATAATATGGTTATTTAAAAAAAAATACAATAGACCACTTACAGTTAAAACGATAAAGTATGACAATACTACACAGAATAATAATAATATGACAGATATTAATATTATAAATATAATTTTTATTATTATATTACACAGGCCAACCAAATTTTTATCTAGAAATTAGAGTATACTTTTTAGTAGAATTTTGGTGCGCTGAAGCCAAATCGGACCGCAGAATGGGTTTATCACGTCAGGTTTTGGAGATATTCTTACCTAAAAAAACCTCAAAATCAATCAAACATTGCCTACACCGAGGTAAGTTAAGCAAACCTTTAATTTAACTAAAAGTCTTTAAACTAAGCAAATACTGTTCACTACTATTTCAGTCAAAAATAAAAGATATTTGAGCTAACTCAATGTCATTTAAAAGATAAGACTTGAACTTTAAGATACCCTGTGTACTTTTTAGGTATAATAAAATTTGAAGGGTTACATAACCTCAAAAATGGGCAATAGAATATCTCAAAAACCCGTGATAGAGCAATTTTGCGGCCGAATTTGGATTCAGTGCACCAAAAACCTTTCGCCTGTCTGAGGCCTCCTTCATGGGAATGTAATCGTTCTTCATTTCACATTGAGGTTAAATCCACAGATATTTGACAAGTTCAAACACCTAGAGTTTTTCTTATTGGCAAATCCTTTTCCTGCAGGACAGCCATTATCACATTAATATTGCCATTGAACCAGACAGTTGAAAATTTCAAAATTTCACTCGTAATTTTTTGTTAAACGGTTTGATAAACTCTAGTAGGCCAATACCTCCTTTCCAAGGGAGAGGCCTATGCCCAGCAGTGGACTATTAAAAGCTGTTCATGATGATGATGATAACTCTAATAAAATTAATAGTCTTCATGAGTAAATAAAAAACTAAACAGCAGCTTCATTGGCGACCCAAATTATTAATGTAAACGCCATCTTTGTTAGTATAAACTTTTAACATATTCTATGCATAAATAAATACCCGTTTACGGCTGGGAAACAACAGCTGGAAGGGTCATTATAAATAAAGCCTCTTCACTATTCTATCCGACTTTTAGCAGAATAGAACATAGGGCATCGCCCTTTTTCGGTGTGTAACACATACACACACCATTCATAGGCTTCGGCATAAATGGGTCGGCTGGACCAGAGTGATGCAGTAGGCCAAATCCTTCTTTCTAAGGAGAGGTCCAGCAGTGAACATTGTGTGTTTTTTAACTTCGCACATCTCTCACACGGCCGCCTGATCCCAGACTAGGTGGAGCCTGTGCTATGGTAACCAGACTGCTGATAAACATATATTTCTAAATACACACTTCTTATAGACAAATTACACCCAGACACAGAACAAATCATCGTGCTCATCACATAATTATTCACATAATTATCCGCTCCGGCTTAGCAGTCAGGGTCACTAACCACTAGACCAACAGGCCCGTCGACAGACTATTGAAGGCTGTTGGTTATGATGAGGTTACCTAGGCCTTACTCCCCCTTCCTAATTCTGGGGCACTAAAGAGCCGGCACTTGACTCTTGACACTTTGCGTGATCCACAAATTGTTGTTCTGAATCTGGGCGTTCTTTACGTCCGTTTCATGTATGTTTGTAAAGAATTTAAAAAAAAAATGAATAAAAAGTAAGTTAAGTACGGTAGTAAGTAAGCCAGTAGTCACTTACCATCAAATGACAATTAAAAGATGAAAACACACGGTGACTCTAGCAAGGATTCTAATGACTTAGAGTAAAAGTTTTTTACCAAGTCCTCTACTATTTAGTCACAGTTTTCCTTATCGCCTAAATATCAATAATTTAATAATTCGGCACATGAAAGGCAAAGAAGTTTGTCCACAGTCCATTATTATCGGCGCAAACAATTGTTCAAACAAAAACAAAATTCTCAACCTAAATGCCTTTTGTGTCTCGAATATTCCATTTTAATCTGTGACTCACTAAACTCTACAACTTTATTATCAATATGAACGAACAATGGCAAAAAATAAACAATTTAAACTAAATATCAAAGTTTTTGACAAATTAATTTATAAGCTTCTATTGCCAAGCTTGACGGACTCGTAAAGGATTTAATATTTTAAGCCTGGCTTAAAATATAAGCTTATACGAATATGTATCACTGAATATAACTGCACGGATGGCGTAGTGGTTTAAGCGGTGACTTCGCTGCCTCACACTGCGCAGGGTGATGTAGATTCGATCTCCACACTTTGTGTGATCCACAAATTGTTGTTCTGAGTCTAGGCGTTCTGTGTCCGTTTCATGAATGCTTATAAAGTTCCCCGCAATACAAACAAACAAAACAATTTAACGATTTCAATATTGAGAGAGTGAGAAACCTTGAAATTCTTTTCCATCAACAACCGTTCTTGCCCGCATTTTCAGTCATTAAACTCCTAATTTGGAATGTTGCACACACGCAATGTTTAAGATGACAATCTTGAAATAATAATAATATTTTGACACATACCACACACGGCCGTCTAATCCCAAATTAGGCAGGGCCTGTGTTATGGTAACCAGACTGCTGATAAATATACTAAAATATTTTTAAATACATACATATCATATTGTAGATACGAGTAAATTACATCCAGACACAAAACAAATGGTCGTGCTAATCACACAATATTTGTCGTGGGTGAAAATCGAAGCCTCTGCCTTAGCAGTCGGGGTCACTAACCACTAGATTAACAGGCTAGCCTCTGATAAAATAAAATCTGACAAATATATTATACAACTTGCAAAACGGATAAGAATTACGAATTGAAACTAATAACCAATTAAAAATAAAATTTGAATAATTCAGAAACGCCACCTCCTATCGTTTAGGACACTCAGATTATCAGAGTTTTAAGTTCCCTCTAACTAATTTACGCGACGACTTGACGAGATGGGATTAATTGAATCTCATCCCGCAATAGGCAGGTTACGCCATCAGTGCAGCCATCTCTTGGCCCAGGATTATTATATAATGGATTATGATCCGCCACTTTGCGTTATCTTGCGGGAAAATATATTCTGGGAATGAAAAATGTGTTGAAATAATTTTTTGGAGTTTACTGCTTAAGAATCGATTTTTTATATAAGGCTCATCATCATCATCAGCCTATCGCAGTCCATTGCTGGACATAGGCCTCTCATATTGCACGATACTTAAATCGATTTTGGGCTTCTCGCATCCATCTCCTGCTAGCCATCTTACGCAAATCGTCACTCCACCTGGCCTGT